AGTCTGCAAAGGCACCAGTGAAACTCTAAAATGGCTGTTAATTTTCTGCAGCTGATTATTATACATATGTGTCTTATGCTTTAACTTAGAATGAAAAAAACCCCATCCAGACATGTCAAATATAGTCAAACCTAACCACTGACGAAAGGCTGATGTCTAATGGTTGCACAGTCAATGTGACATCATCACATGACCGGCATGATTGCATTTACTCCATTAAGGTAGGTATTCTCATTCATTTACTACCCAAGCCCTCTCTTCCACTCATCTCTACCACCACCACCACTCTATGATGGTTTCCATGGTCACGGTGCAACAATTATCAAAGAGCTTAAAGGAAATGGCTTCAACCACAACACATCTCTGAAACTACTGGAGACACAGAGCTGCCTCTCTCGGTTTTCTATCATGTTTAGCTCGAATTATGTCAAAGTTGCAACGGAAGAAATTATGTAAACAGATTAAGACAAATCAAGGTTCAGATGACAGCACAGACTTAACGTTCTTGTTTTGACTTACTGATAGAACTATATCTCCATATTTATTTAGTTTAAAATAAGCTAGCTGTATGGAGGTAATTTGCTGCTGACATACAACAATTTGTATTCATATATGACATTTAAATGTCATGTTCTGTCTAGCAGCCACCAAACCTGTCTGAACTTGTTCCATTTGAATGTCATTTTCCTAATTCAGAAGATAAAACATAGACAAGATTGTTAACACCACTAACATATAGAATAGCCTTTTATTCTCATTCTACATGTACAACGAAATTGTGACTATCGCAAAGCAAGAGAACAAACATACTAAAACTATTTGGACAGTTATGGGAGCAGAGCTGGGCTATAATGGGCTCCATAGCCATGTTGGAAATCTGATATGTGGTTGAAAAAACAGTTGACATATCTGAAAAGTTCCCACTGCGAGGTCACCACTCCCAAACGTTCCTGTCAGGTCTCAATTGAAACGAATGATACTTTATAACCCCTCTCATGCACACCGACTAAATGTTAGTTCAGCTTTAGCTGGACAGGGATGAAGAAGCTTCTCCTATTTTGAGAGATGATAAATGTAGCATAGAAGGGCTGTTTCTAAAACCCACAGAGTAAAGCAGGGGACAAAAATAATCCCCTAGAAATTACACCATAGAAATGCTGAGAGCAGCACCGTGTGAGGGTGCTGCAAGCGTTATGATTGAGAAAGTAGGAAGTAAACGAGAAAGGAGTGATCCCTCACCATTATTTAACCCATGCAAAACTCTCTAACAGAAAATGCAAAACCAGATATTTCAGATAAAAGAAACATGCACGAGCGACTGTTTGACCACACTACGAAAGTCCCCCTCTAACGTAGACATGCATTTGCCGTAAAACCCATGATCTGGTGGCTTCACTGCTTGCTGGAGTTTCTTATTATTGGAAATCTAAAAAGCCACGCTGTTCTTTGGGTCTCTTGGGTAAAGACGGATCCCCACACAACAGCAATAAGTGAATTATGCTTTCAAATGCAATTTATATCCAGCAGAACTACAATGCCCAATTGTCCGCCAATTCTGCGAGGTATAACTTTCCACCTTAATTAAGCAGTCCTGCTGCATCATGTTTTAATTGAATTGCACCTTTTAGAAGCTGCATTATGAAAAAAAAATGACCAAAACAAGTCAGAGATCCCTGCAATTTACATATCACCATGTCCCAAGTCATTAGATTTAAAAAAACAAATGCTGTGCAGCCCAAAGTAAAATATCAGTAAGAAAATTAGGGCATAAGCGTTCATCCAAAATAAAATAAAAAGCAAATGCTTTTATTTTGGCAGAGAGCTGACAAGTTTAAGATAAAACTATGATGGTGCAGAGCCGCTGTGGTCACAGAAGTGTTTTTAGAAACTCAAAACAGCGACCATTCCTTGGAATGTTTGCCTACTGCTGCTCGACAAGCGCAGCAGCAGTGCTACACCTCCTTCTCTGCTCCTTTCCCAAGCACTACCATTTACGTGTTTATGAGAAAGACCGTTCTGATCGTTGGCCAAGTCATGCCTGGCAGCACCCAACCCTGGCATGATAACCCTATCGGATGAGAAGACCCAGGAAGATGATACGGGCATAATGGGGGTGAAAATCAGCCTGCAATGGACTGAAACACACTTCCTAATGCATAATAAAGCATTCATTCTCTTGTCACGAGGAAAGTCTTTGCGAGAGTGGGGGTGAGTTGGAGTTAAAAAGTACAGAGAATACTGTATTCTCCTTCTGTCAGTGGGCTGGATGGGGAAATTAGGGTTAGAAGGGGTGAAATTTTGTGTCTTTGTCTATACATTTAGCTTTTTAGTTGCATTAGGAGTTAAGCTGGGTTAAGGAGGCAGTCTTCAATGACAGCAGAAGATCGTAGATTAACAGGCTGCCAGACAAGTCCGGGCGGTAAATGTAAGAAATGCTACTGTTTTGCTAGAATACTGCAGTATAATGCAAGCCACTTATGGAAGGGAAAAAAGCCCATGTAGGGGAGAGATACCAGCAAAAAACTCTTATCCTGTGTCATGACCTTTAGATTTTAAATTTTTTTAAAAATTAAGAAACCCCCCAAGCAGTAAACCAGCACTTATATGGATCAGGATGGTGTAATAGCTGGCAACAAATACAACAACATCAACGGTGTGGGAGCAGACTTATCTATTTGTTATACTAACTGTCTATGGTTGTGAAGCTGTAGTTAGGCGTGCTTATCTTTTTTCTGGTCTAACGTATACAAAACACAAATTTGCATGGCATGAAGTAGAGCTGAGCCAGTAATGAAGCCACAATGAAGTTGTATGCTTGCGTAATAAAGTATACCATGCAGAAAAAAGAAAACATTTCACCTTATCTGGGGCAAATTTAGCAAACTTTTCAAGTTTTTGTTTACGTGATTTTATGCATGCAATCCTTAGGACCCATCCACTACTGATGTAAAAGTAATGGATATCTCCCCATATATTTAGGTAGCTTCAGAAACTGTCCCAGTAACTGTCAGGAGGTTTTGCTGTTAAGGAAAAAAAGGCTTACTTGTAGATGGCCTTTGGTCAGACCACAAAAAAACAAGAAAGAAAGAAAGAAAGAAGAAGAAGTCTGGTCGCTGTGGTCAGAAATCCCTTAAGGAAACAAATGGGAATCAGTCGAGGATGCTTGTAGTCCATACCTGAAAATGTTCTGGGTAGAAACTACCATCAAGATTGTGTATTATAACAGAAGTGATAACATAAAGGCATTTTTAAAGTATGTCAATAATGATAACTGAGAACAGGGTTTACAGCATAACTTGAGGCTTTGATATCCAGAAATCCTGAGTGCACATTGTACACATAGACTTTTCTTTTATTCTACAGCTTAAGCCACAGCTGAAGAATGAATTGCCAAATGACTGCCTCAAAGCCAGTGTTTACACAAAAAAATGTCACAGAGCACAGTCTAAACTAAACATAGTATGAGGTTGACTACTCAGGTCATTCTAGTTCCCCTTCAGCCAAGAATGCCAACTTGGAGTTATTAAGGAAATCATAGCGATTGCAGAGATTCCATATCAGGCTTAACCTTACTTGGTGCAACAACAAATCAGTTCTGATTAGAGTCAGCTGTTTGCTCATTAAACAATCACGGCATAAGAGCTCAGAAGAGCTGGCAGCTGGGAAAGAATGTCACTCAGTGGCTGACTGTTAGCAATAACTTAGCCAAGGAAGGAGCTTGTAGCAACATAAAAGCAGCTTGTTTCTTTACAGTGTCAAATAAATAAAGACCATGAGAAACTTTGGAATGAAACTGACTTCTTACACATTTTGCAATGTGTTTCATGAAGGTTGCGATCAAGATTCAAAAATGTCCTCTACCATTATTTCACATTTTTAACATTCAGAGAAACGTGCCAATCTAGTAGAACCGCTTTTGGCACGGGCCTTAAAAAATGTGAAATGCACTCACCACACATTGCACTGTTCTAAATGTGAAATGCAGCTACAGTTTATACCTAAAACAAAGACAAACTCCTTACAGTTCTAGTGTTCTGCTCTAGTTTCTTTGGCTATTTATCATTGTCACATCTGTTTTTCAGTTCTTTTTTTCCCTGCACAGCCTGAAAATAATAAGGGTGCTCTCGGATCTTATTTGCACCATGAGGGGGGCATGTGTGAATCGACCTTGTTACGACTGGGTTGGCTTTAAAGTGTCTGGTGTTGAGCTAATTTAAGTGATGTTTTACTACTATGAAACTGTGCAGTAAAATCTGTTTCAAACGTACAAATTAAAACAATTTAACTTTTGATAAAGGGGAGGGAGCAAACAAATAAACTACAAGCCTTATTAAAGGGATAAACACTTCAACGTGGCTTTGAAGCTTCTAGTGGATTTTCCCTGAACAAAACGTGGTACAATGTAATGCCGCACATATTCAATCCATGTATTCAGGCTGACAAAAGCAGATTATCCGCATTTTGAAGATGTAATGCCTCTTCTTGGATCTGTGTGAACCAATATGACAAAACAAGCACTGACTGGTGTTTGTTGGTTGCATGTGACAGCTGACATGCATCCAGGAATAGAAGCCCTGGAGTGACTCAAGGCGATCAGATGCTCACCCACAAGTACTCATGATGGACAAGGCACAGTAATATTAGAAGAACTTCCCATGAAAAAAAAGAAAACGAATTGCACACACATGACAAAACCTCTGTGGCCTTTTCACTTCACAGGTCAGACTGGTCGGCTAACAGCAGCACAGCGTGGGGACATGACATGACGCGCTGAGCGCACAACCTACAACACGCTGACCATTTGAGAGCACAAAGCTGTAACATTTTGTGTCAGGTATTATACTGCTTCTGCAGAGATGTAATCCAAGTGCACAAATGTGTTTTATATCACACGGCAGATATAAACTAACAGTAATCACTTCTGTATGCCTGGGATTGACAGATAACAAATCAAGCAGCTCAAATTCTAGACGTCATGAACAGAAAACTGCAGTCCTTACCTTTAACGAGTCAAAGCAGGCGATCACTCTCCCATTCTCCACCTGGCAGCTTTTGGGTGGGTGGGCAAATTTGCATTCTTCATCACTGCGTGAACAAGTCCCGCGTTGAAACTGCCGGCACACTTCCAGGGTCAGCCATTTTGTGTCCCGTATGGAGGCAATGTTTAGAGCCATGTCAACAGCGCTGGCTGTAGAGCCGGGTTGCAGCAGAGCCACTAGGTTTAATGTGGAGGTTATCCTCTGAAGAGGAGCACTCCAGTTAAAAAAAAGAAACAAAAACAAAAATATCCCCAAAAAACAAAAGAACTAAGAAGCAGCAGAATGTGTAGCTATAAATGATCTGCTTCAGGTCAGTGGATCAGGCTTGTCCTTGCAGACAGGAACGTGGAGGTAATGGACTGGCAAAGTCTCTGTGACCTGAACATGGGACTACACTATTGCGCTATTGTGGAGTTTCTCAGTCAAACAGCTAGTTGTTTATCAATCAGTAAGTCTCAGGTGCGAACGTCTGGAAAGGCAGAGGGGGCATGCTCAGAGAAAAGCTTTAGTCGATGTACCCGTGTCCCCAAAATGTCCTCTGCGTGAGTGATGATATCTTTGCAAGGGGTGGATATCAGGGTTATTTTGAGGTACAATGGCACAGTTCAGGATAATACAAAGTTTGTGGCTTTTTATTGTTACCCTCTCTCTGAGCTTTGGCACGTTGGCCAGCTATGCAGCAGCTCCAGCAGCTCTTTACTTTTCCTTCACACAGATCACAGGTGAGGACAAATCAAGGGTCAGCGATCCTCACAGCCGAGCCGTGTGGCGTCACGATCGCAGAGGGCAAAAAAAAAAAAATCTGGAGTTCTTCAGAAACACTCAGCGATCTTCAAGTAGGGATGCTGTCTCACAAGGCACTTTCTGTCAGTGATCTAAAAGGGAGAAGTGAAAGAGAGAAAAGTAGAGACAAGAGACAAACAGAGTGAGGCTATTTTCACAGTGAGAAAATGGCTCGCTAATTATGACGGGAAACAATTTATCTAACAGGCTTCAGCAGGCGTTAACGGTGTTTGTTTTATGCGTGTCAATCTGAATTTGTGTGTGTACTGCCCCAGAGGAGTGCTAGCTCCAAAGGGGACAGGCCTGATAAACCAGAAAAAAAGGCAGTTAAAAGGTTATTCAGAAGCCATTTGAGTCTAAGTCCCACAGTCGCTGCTGTCCGCCTTTGTACGGGGTGACTGCAAGCCCAGTGGCTTTCCAACATATTGCATACAAAGTGGGGAATGGCAAAAGCCACTGTGCTATGAGACAGTGGACAAGAACGCAGAGTCAGAGCAGAGATAGAAAAAAGCCCCGGGGTCCAACCCGCCCTGTAGAGCCATGCACGGAGGGACGAGTTCAGCCAATAGAAAACCGCGCAGAGCAGCACTATTCCGGGCAGTCGTCCAGCAGCCGGAGAGGGACCGAGACAGATGCATATGCCAGTGCCAGACACGATTATGACGCTGCCCAGTGTCCGGCAATATTCACTGGTCTCCCACCATCCAAATTAGGTACTGGCTCATTGACGGCAGCCTGTCAATTTACATTCATTGGGGGGAGACGTGCGTCGGTGCGTCTGTGCTGCCTGTCTCATCCTGCAAAGACGCTGGTCCCTGTGTTTGGCTGTTGTCTAGGGACTGAGGAGGGACAATTGGTAGAGCAACAATATGAGGAAGTGACCTTTAGTTTGAGCATATGAAATCCATTACGGAGCTACTGCGCAAGGAGCTCTTTCATTGGCACATCTGGAAATATTTTTCTGCTAAATGCAGGCGGGTAAGGGGCTGAGGACACAGACTGAGGGAGGAGAAAGAGAAGGACTGTAAAAATATATAGAGTTCTGGTTAACAGATTACCCCACTGGAAAACATCTTGACCAATCTCACATGGCATATGAAAGGCTACACTTGTTAATGAAGGTTTGTGGGGAATTGTACACCCGCGTTCGCAGGGTTTGTCCCTGACAGGGAAGCAGCTGTCATACAGGTGTATGCTACTGGCAGATTCAGCACAGTATTTATTTTAATCTCTTGTCCACAAGACAGAGGTCTGAAGTAAGACGCACTTATCCTTTCTTCCTGGAATCTACTAAATTCTTCAGTTTGACATCCAAAATAAAAATTACATCTAAAAGTCCAAATGGAGAAGCCCATTTTTCTATAAGATAATTGATTTTTTTGTTGTTTATTTCAGGCATATAGGAGGGCAGATTTTTTTTTAAGCTTCTCTTGAAATTACCCACCAACCTTTGTCTAGCTAATCTAATTGTCCCACTTCAGAGCTGATCATGTGAAATGAGATCAGAAGCTTCCTCGCCTGATCGTACTGACGCCCAGGCTTCACTCTCCAAGGTTGGATTTAATTTCACATCATCACCCCAGGGAAAGAGCCAATCACTGCAAAAGAGACAGTCAGGTAAGAATCATGTCAGATCTGACCTTTAACAATTAATCCCTTCTTATTTTTAGGAGCCATAAGAAGTGTGTGATCAAGCTAACCTACTTTGTCAGAGAGTGTAAAGGGATGATAGTGCCATTTCTCTGAGAAATGACTTACTTTGAAAGGTGCAGCAAGTTGTGCTGAAATAGTAGGGGAACACAACCACTAGTCATTTTCTATTTTTCTATTTAAAGCAGGGGTTTACAGCAATCAAAGTTTGGATGAAAAGAAACAGCCTGACAGAGTGGATAATGCTTGGTCAGGGTCATCTGAACACTCCGAGGTGTCTCAACAGGCAACATTCAAACAATGTTTGCCAAGAAAGATATTCAAAACGAATGGTGAGGACTAGAGATCCAAAGGAGACTTATGTGGGTGGTAATAAGACTAAAACGAAGGAAAAACAGAACATAAAGAAAAACAAAGAAAATCTGTTCTGATATTGTATAGAACTGTATGTTTATGTAGTATTACTGCTGTCAAAAACACAAAACAAAAAACAGAATAGAAAAAGTAAAGTAAATATCTTAATAATATCCAACATCCTGACTAAGAAGCATTTGGTAATAACAAAGACATGCCGGTTCCACCCTGCTTCCAAACAGCCAAACCTCAAAAGATATTGTGTTGTTGCATTGACATATGCACAGATTAGACTGTTTACGATAGTTTTAACTATGTTGTGGGAGATATATCGACGTGCTATATTGGTAAAAATTTAGGTAAGAGTACTTGGCTCATCTACAAATAGAAATTTAATCGGGTTTTCCATCAAGATTAAGCTCGTAACAAGAGCACTCAGAGAACTCCCCCTCAACAGTGTGACCTTGACCTTGACCCGATTTTTTAAACTAAATTAAATCAGCTCAAGCTGTTATTGGTATATACCATCACACAAAATTAGCACATGATATCTTGAACACTGTGGACACTGAACTGATTACATATTTCCTCCCTTTGGGGGGGGGGATTAGAGTCTGTGGGGCCAATATATCTGTTGATATCAGCTATTTAACAGTATTATAACGGTATCTGCATTTATAACGGACAATAAATGAAAATTTGAAAAGTAAAGAAGAGATAGCAGAAACACCCTTCAACCATGTTTCAAATTATTGATTTGCATAATTTGTCCACAAGAGGGCAGTCTGCTACATCCCTGATGGCAGCACACATAATTACCTACACATAACAAATGTTAGGGAAAAACAGTTTATGTTTCTTGTTTCTGAAAGAAAAAAAACACAAGAAATAAACCATTTAGATTGGATTTTAACATCACCAAATATTAGTATTGCTCTTAAAAATCCTATATTGATCAGGCTCTAGACAGAAACAGCAAAATAACTACCCTTTTATCTGGAGGGGTTGCTAAGATGGCAGCAAATTGCTGAGTTGCACTTACAGAGGTTTAGTCATTCATTTATATGCCAAATATTTAGTAGACACATAAAAATTAATAATATATAACTTAATAAAGGAAATAATCAATAAAGCAGCCCTAGCAGTATTTTTAAACAGACGCTACATGTGCTTCGTTAATGTAACCTTTTAAGAGATGGGATATCTAACTGTAAAGTGATGTAGCCATAAATGCTAGCTAGACACTCTTTAGCGGTGGCAACTGAGAACACTCTTATATCCCTAAAACATACCAAAGCCCCTGCTAGGAAGTAAACTGTTATCATGGGGGGTGAACCTCTTATCTGTGTCATATAATTACACCCGATCCTAAGAGCATGAGAAACTCAAGCACAGCAGAAATAAATTGCTTTGGAATAACTACTATTGAAAACTGTAGCTGAAGTCAGAGGCGGTGCACACACTGTAAATTTAGGCTACTTTGACAATCCTTAACAATGTGACTCTGACATATTTAAAACTGCCTTAGTTTGCTCATGCATTACATCAACATGCAGTATGACTTAGTTTACACTGAGCTCTGTAGTCACGCTTTGAGGACAATGCCAATGATATGAAAGGACGGAAGGGCAGATGGTCAGCAGGTAGGAAGAGCCACACAGCATGTTCTGACTACTGCTTTTCTGCATAGGATCACTACTAAACACTAAATCCTTTTAATACCATTTCAAGGTAAAATTTGCATTAGAAATTAGCCTTTCTGCAGATCCTCATGGCTGAACCAGGCATTGCTTCTGCAGATCTGTGGCCTTTCTGGGGCAGAAAATTGCACCGCGGCTTTTGTTCTGCAGAAATGAAGCCTCTCTGTGAAGGACTAGTATAATAACGTGGCTCCAACAACACAGAAATATAGTCTATTTCAATGTTACTGTAATGAAATCGATTAGCCATTATTTTATAGCTGATGCTTGCTGGCTAAAGTCCACTGTCCTGTTTCAGAAAGGCAGCATTTTAAATGACACTCAAACTAATAAACTCATACACATGCACATTAGTGTATATGTTAGGAATTTTTTTGTTCTGTAATTTTTTGCTCTGTAATTTTTTTTGCGATGTTGAAAGAAGACTTTGTCTCCTCTTTGTCCTGTACAAACAGTGGTCAGACAGGGTGACCTGATAAAGCAGGATAGAGATGTAAAGTAAAGCACCACAGTACTAGACTTTATGGATTACTGATGCTTACCAAGGCCAGCTGGCTGAAGCATTATCTTGGTCAGTCTGGTTAGTTGAACGAGAGTCAGAGGGACTGGGGTGTCTCGAGTGAAAGTCATGGGCTTGACCTCTGATTACCACGTATGTAACCCATTATTCTGGTATCTGTGCACACCGGCTGTGCTGGGCAATTTATCTTTAACTGCATGTATTTGTTTAGGGGAGATGATAAGCTACCTGGTTCCTACTGGTCATAAGCTTTGTGGAAACGTTTTCCATGGCACCAGCAAGGTGTTGCTACCAAAATAAAGTCAAAATACAAATGGCTGTGACAGATGAGCGCATGAGCAGGGAGCCTGAGTGGCTGAATTTCCATTTATTACCATTTTGTGCTGGCAAACTGCAATTGTATGGCCATTTGCATGGCCAAGAGGAACAAGTGGTCAATGTTTTTCAAGGCTGTGTAGAGAGGGCCTCATTGTAGAGGGGAAATAGGAAAATGTTCAGTTTCCAGTGAGTAATGGAAAACGAGTGAGGCTTTTAGTTAAGGTTTTATCAGAATGTTCTCTATTCCTAAAAAACCAAACCGAGACGTCAAGTATGACATCACCATCATGTTCCTTTTTGCAAAATCTTCCTTTGCATCTTCCAGTGGGGATCAAGAGCAGGGCTAGACCTTGTAGCCTAATTCGTATTTAATACCCTGGAGGCTCTGATGCTTATGAAATTGTCTTTGGCATAAGCTATGGATCCTTCAGTTCAATATCATCAAATGCCATTAGCAATAAGGATGGGCTCAGCAGAGGCTATACCCGGACTAAGCTACTGTTCGGAGGCAACGCAAGAAGCATTTCACAGAGTCAGCACATAGGTGTGTCCCATATCATAATAGCCTTAGCTAAACCAGAATGACCTGAATAGCCCTGCTCGTGGTATGGGACTGGCCACTTGTTATCCGTGATCCTTTTCATAACTGGATGTATTTTCTATGTTTTTATAACCACTTAATTGAAAACAGGCAGGAGAAAGTTTCAGTAGATTTGATCGATCTTGACCCCTGCACTCAGTAAATGGATTTGTTTTCGTGTTGAAGTGAACCTGTCCTCTACCTAGTTAGCTACAAGGACTCAGGCAAGTCAACTAATTATAGTGCAGCTGGCAGCCGGAGATGAACACTGCTGTTGAGATAAATATGATGATTAACAGGACATCCAGTCCCACTCCATTTAGTGAAACCAACACAAAGTGCACCTACTGCAAATGGAGCCAAGTTAAAATCTTACTTGAGCACTTGAAAACATAAGAGCTCAATGATTCAGCAAACTTGCCCTTGTATCACAGATCAGTTGAAAAAGCTCTGTTATGCAGAGGATGTCTGTAAAATCTACCAAGCACTAAATCCTTTTAATATTAGCTCGAGGTAGAATTTACATTAGTGTCAGAGAGCGGGGATTTCTAGCTGACAAAGTCTTGCAGTAAGGACATGTCTGAGATTAAGACCCCATTATTTTCTCATCAGGAAGGGCTGGACTGATGTTCCATTTTAGAAAACACCCACTTCCCCTTGATCTACAGCCAGACGCATGACACCACTCTAGCCTTTTCCATGCAGGCAGTAATGTCCACTGCTTGGCTGCCACCGGCCGAGCGTCTATTGCAAGGCTAAATGTAGACAGACAGCGGTAAGCTGAAGACACGTCAACCGTGCCCCATCTCACTCAGAGGTTAATTATGAACTGTGCCTTATTAGAACTGCGAACTTCCAGCTCATTTGAGCCATCGGCTATTTGTGTCCACAACACCGGCCTGTGCTCTTAACAAACAACCTTTGCCTTGGGAAATTTGCGCAAGAGTCACGAGGAAAAACTTACACAAAGTGAACAGCGACAGGACAGATGCCACACAACAGGAAAGTTTTTCTCGAGGCAGTGAAAAATATACAGCCCATGTGGCAAAAAAGGAGCTCTTGACATTTGTACTGAGGAAGGGGCAAGTCAACCGCTGTGATAATGCCTCTCCCGCAGGAGCTGAAAAAGAGAAAGTCCATTAACGGGGCTGGAAACTGCAATGAGGACAGTTGCTGCGTGGCTGCAAGCTCCCAGTGCTCCTACGCATTTATCCCACTCTGTCTGCATTTTCTTCCCTTTTCCTTGTTTTTAAGCATTACACTCTTTTCTCTCACACAGATAAAACATTCCCTCTGGTCCCTCCCCACCCAGACTGGTATGCAGCGCACTGCAGCAAAACTCCTGAAAAGAAAAAGGAAAAAAGCCAGCCAATCTGTCGGCTCTTTCCCACCTCCTTTCACCGGGGGTCCCGTAGCTCTGTGTCTGTCTGTCTGTCTGCTGTCCCAAACGCAGGACGCTCCCGGTGCTTCTGTGACGCGGAGCTACAGCGCAGCTCTCCCCTCAGCCTCAGCGACAGGAGTTAATGACCATGTGTTCTGCTGTCATTCCTCGCGAGCTCTTGACTGCTTCTGCCGGAGGTCCATGCCTAGACAGGGATTTTTCTATCAGTATCTCTCTCTCTCTCTTCCCCAAGCTGCCGAGCAAGCGAGCGAGGCAGGCAGGCAGGCAGGCGGGCAAGCAGGCAGGCAGGAAGCAAAGAGTGTCTACTCCAACTATCTGGCTGAAACACTTCCAGCCAACCCCTCCAACACCCCTAAAGCCAGCCCCTTCCTGCCCACCAGCCTGTGGCAAAGACCTGCCCCTTACCATGTTCAGCCAATGAAACAGCAGCTACTGCAAATCTGTGTCTCTCCATTGGAAGAGCACAGACTAAGTGATGGGGTGAAAACTGCTTTACAGTATAACAACCCCTGAATGCTGATCTGAAAAGGTATTTCCCCAATTTCACACCCTGCTTAACCAACTATCACAATATTTATTTCTTGTCTATTCTGGTGATAATATTCAAAATGAAATCATCATTAACTGAACTGCATTTAATAGAATATAGATAAATATACATGTTTGATGTAATTAAAGTGTAGCTGCAGATCCATGCTGAATATCACGTCCATCGCCATCATCACCCCAGGTAACAGGATCACTACATTTCTTCCCTCGCCCCCTCTCTCCTCTACCTCCCATCAGCATCTGTCCTCTGAACTCATTTGCGACATCAACCAGACAGTCAGACAACTCTCTCCTCTGCTCTTAATCACCTAATTCTATCCCCCGCCCCACCTTGTCTCTTTATCCCTACCTGCATGTTTTTCTACATTTCTATAAGCTATCTTTCAAGCTCTATTTCAATCCAATTCCTGAGTTCGCTGGACTGGAAAATTACACAGTAATGAACATTTCTGTTATTGTTATTGCATCAGAATTAGCTTCGAGAAAAGGGAAAGGGGAAAAATAACACTGGTATTGGAAGGTCCCTTCCACCCAGCTGATGACATGCTGGCTGGCATCATATGAGCCGTGAAACTGGAGCGTCACAGAACTGATGAGTCAGAGATCCAGCTTCATGACTTTTCGATCCAGATTCAATAGAACAGCTGTACTGTCTGTCTCTCTCTCTCTTTCGCTTGCCGTCCATCCGTCTCTCCCTCTCTCTCTCCCGCTCTCTCTCCCTCACATACAAAGGTTGTGGATGACGCGGCAGCCTGGGTGTTTCGTTGACATCAATGAGGATAAAAATGCTTTACAGTTCCACAAGAAACAAACCTATCAGCTGTGTGATTAGGCTTTGACAGTTGATGCTCCACAAGCGAAACATTTGTCAAAATGTTGTGAGAAGATAGAGGCTCGGGGTGATTAATCCCATTCGGCATGAAAAAGTGTCTACTTCAGCAAATGATGCCGAACACTGACGTCATCTTAGGGATCAGGGCACCTGTAGGTAAATGACACAGACAAGCGCTCTGCCGCTGCATGAGGCACGGGCTGGGAGGCGGGGCTATGTCATCCTTTGTTGAAAGAAAAAGTGCCACCTTACACCATCAGTGAAAGTAGTTTCACTACTACCGTGTACACAATACCAAGCGATCATTTTAATGATCCTAGACGGTGAACATTAGTTATGACCTGAATATTGAATGTAAAAAGCAAAAAGCAACTTCCACGGATGAATGAAGCTTATCAATCTCTAATTTGCCTGCAGCCAACTTCTCAATAACCCTCACTGAATAACTGTCAATAACTGCATAACAAGCCAAGCCACTGCTAATTTCCACTGGCAGACCTCAGATAGCCTACCTCCTAAATAGATTTGTCCGACAGGAAAACAAACAAAAGCCTGGCAGCCAAACAAGCCGAGCTACTTCCTTCCCGCATGGTATCCCCTCCCCTCTTATTATCCCTGTCCTGTTTGACCCCAAACAGCTTGGCTCACTCACACACAACCAGATTTAGGATTCTGCGGCCCAAAGCAGCTTCATATTCAAATATAATAGGGGAATAATCTGAAACAATGGCTAATAGAAAATGAAAACAGTGATGGGTTAAGACTGTGTTTGAAATACTCTCCCTCAGCACAGAACACTGTCTGTGCTTTTTCTGTTAGTTACATGCGACAGAGAGAGAGAGAGGGAAAAAAAGGGCTCAGAAATAGGGCAGTGAAGACAGATCAATGAAAAGGCAGCTGTCCTTTTCTATTATTAGCTGTAATCAAATATCAAGCAGGAAAGAGTTGTGCTTCCTTCCATTTGAAGCCCATTCTGATAAGTCTGTCAAATGCAGAGTCTGCATTAAAATATAGAAGAGCTTAATGGATGCAAGGGTCAACCAGGGCTTTTTTTAAAATAAAATACACACCAACAAAGCCATTCAAGTATATTTCATTCTCACTGAACTCATACTTTCTGGAAACTAATCTAACATTTGTTTTATCCTTTTCAACATTATTGAGCAAATGTTACATTCCTTATTATACAAAGCTCATTTTCCACCAATTACACTGTACTGTTGAATGTCATGTCTTACTTGAGCTTTAATAACCACGACATATTCCATCCAAATGGCAAACCAAGGTCTGGTTTCCATATGAAAATAAAGACACTGGTGCAATGCTCTTCTGTGCTGCTGCTTTGCATGTTCACAGGGATTAATAATTGTAAATAACCGATCAGAAGGTATTAACCTTAAATGTGTAAAGGCTCTAATTTGAAAAAGCTGCAATGGCTAAAAGTTTGTCTCCACTCATGCCTCATCAGTCCTTTACTTTTCCTTTAAATCGAACAATCCATTAATCCAAGTAGCAGCTAATTTATCTCAAAATGCAGAAGTTCATTGAATACTGAAAAAAACGCACCGTTAATGACAGCTCAACAAACTCACCTGCAGAATTAATAATAAATGAGTTGTTATTAAATCTATTCCCAGTGGGCTTCGTTAGGTCATTTCCCACTTCATAATGCAACATAAAGCACTGGACTGAACACTTTTCGGATACACAGGGAGCACGAAGGTGCAGCATCTGTGGATTTGAGTTATATTATATTATATTTTACTTACGAGCTTTCAGCTGTTTTTATTAGCTATTTGGGCACAGATTGGCGGCTAGCCCTACAAAACAGCCTTCCGTGAATTATTTTTATGATGGTGGAGTAATATTAGCCACCTCTGCTGTTCCAAGAAGTCACTATATTTACCATAACGCCACACCGTGTGAAGTAGCATCAGAGTCGAGGTGTGCTAACACTACCTGCTAAGCTAACTACCTGATGCTTACCTGATGACGAACCTGTCACATCCAGCTGCACTTCAGCCGCTACCAACGGTTTCTCGAGAGCGCTGTTTCGGTTGATATGGGACTCACGGTTCGGCACAGGACGGCAGAAACGTTCTTCGACTAACACTTGCCTCTATTTGCGTTCCGCAGCAAACTTTTTCGCTTTCAAAACAGATGTCAGTGAAAGTAAGCTATCAGTCGCTACACGCTAGCTCGCTAACTACTTTTAAGGCTAGGGCAGGAAGCAACAAGCGATTTTGACAGTTCGAGGAAATGTTGAGTGTGCTTCCCTCAGGGGGGGGTTACTACTATGGTGTAAACGTTAATAGAGTATTTATTATCAAATGTTTGAGCCACTGTAGATGCTACTGAAAGAAAAACACTTTTCGGTTAGAGTGAAGTGTTACATGTATTCCGTTTTACCATTGAATTCTACTTCTATTCGATAGAGAAGATAGCCCGCTCACCCTAACAGTAAATATGGTACAATCCAGAGTGAGCAAGGGAAGGGGTGGGGGTGGCTGTTACCTAGGAAACAACAGTGAATCTCCCTCGGGTAAAAAATGTGGCCACTGATTTATGAACCAGTGCCTGTCTGTCTGTCAAAGTAGCCTCCAATCGACAGGATAAAAACATTGAAGGCATTTGATAAAGCATATTATCCTTCAAGATGCTCTGGTTAATCCAGATAAGTTCTAACACTTTTTGACTCCAATAACCAATCATTTCTCAGGTAAATATCATTTTTATTAATCGTATTTTAGGGGGTATTTGTGCAAGAGTGATTTCAGAAACATTAACCTTTCCTAAAGTAATATTTGGATTATAGATATATATGCTGCATGGTGGTGTATGAATTTGTTATAGGCTAATGTTGTTGATGTTTCAGATCAGCTGAGAGAAATTATCCTGCTAAAATGATCATAATTCAGCCCATCGTCACTGCTTCATGTGCAGCAGAGCCTGCGCATTTTGCAGCGTAATTGCATACAGCTGGCTGAATTTAGCACTTTGTGACACACAGGGACCCGTTGTCAGCAAGGAGCGCAACGAGTCAACAAGGAGCAAGTCACAAATATCCCCGGAATGAGCAGAGAGGCACAAATTTAGCCCCACTGACTGCTGCCCACGCCATGTGCTGCCTATTGAGCACATGAACAATGAACATAGCCAGATCGCAGACTGCCATGTCAGGGCCGAGGCCTGCTTCAGTGGAATGCTACTTTGGATAAAGGCATCCCAGTTTGTCAGGAGGCAGCAGCGTGATTAGATGAAGATTTTGTTGGTGGGCTGTGGTTTGATGACAACTGTAATAGTCAGAAACTCAAACAGTTGAGTGTTGAGTGTGTATAATTATGGGATCAAGTTAATATTTGTTATAATAATCTGACCAGGGTCAGACTGGTAACTGCACATACTTTTGGATTGGATTACTTCGTGTCAGATATTGGTCACACAGTTCAGCATGTGACATTTAATACCCATCACACTGCTGACATCTTCATATTTACAAAACATGATCTCAGAAGGGCAGCAGTAAAGGTCTCAAACAACACCAGGAGATTTCTCTTCTCCCTGCTCCTGTTCTTGTCAGCATTTTATCAAGAAAAAAAAAATCACCATGATCTTGCATGCTCATGTAGGATGTTATAACAAGCAGAAAAGTAAACTACATCAAATCACAGCACCACAATGGCGAGAATCTAATGATTATGAAAAACCGCTCACATAGGTCAAGCTCAACCCCATCACCCCCCTGAAGACCTAACATATCGATCCCAATGCAGAGGAGGCATTTGTAAAAAGAATAGAAGAAATCCTGCTGCCGGCATCCTTTTCTAAAAGTCCCTGAACGCCCACACTCTTCAAACACACTCATTGGGGCTCGCACTCATAAAAACGCACGAGTAAAAACAGAACAGGCTTCAAAAATATCAGTTTAACAAGACGCTTTCTTTATGTGACATGTTTGAAATGAAGTTGGAGGTTGAAAATGATGGAGGCGTAGCACTGATGCGCTTCAGTCATTTTCTCCTCCTGCGTTATCCAAGACAGAGTCATTTAAAGTCTGCACACTTGTATGAGCGTGAACAGCATTTTGGGTATAATTTGTGGGAAAAAAAGAAAAAAGAAGAAGAATCTGCTCGGGAAACAGGTGGCTCCTTGTCGCTGGAGACACGGATTCATCAGAATTCAAAATAAATTATTTTCCTATGAGTCATAAATAAGGAGATGAATGTGCTCATATGTATGCATTCAAGAACATAATGTATTTGAAATATACACGTATACACACACACGCACGCGAGCAAAATAAAAAACAAAACAAAAATGACCCAAAGCAGATGCCTGTGTGTGTGTGTGTGTGTGTGTGTGTGTGTGTGTGTGTGTGTGTGTGTGTGTGTGTGTGTGTGTGTGTGCTGGGCTCATTAATGGGTTTTGACTCTACATTTGTTGCTGTAGCAGTCTGTAGAGTGGACCTTGGGATCAACTGAGGAGGCGTCAGGCAGAAAAACAACCGCAGTATCTACAGGACGCCACTGATAGTTTCTCTCACACAGAGAATAAAGAGAACGCTGTAGAAAACAGTTTGCACCCGCAGACAGAAATCAGTAAACAGACACTCATACGGGGAGAATACATGCAACATACATGCACATCCCCGCTGAAGCTCTTAAGTCTGAGGCACACATACACCTACACGCAGTGGGCAAAGCTCCACGTCAAGGACAGTATTGATCTTTTTAAATGAGAACGCACCTGATTATGAAAGCTTTTAACCCAAATGCCTAATGCAGCACAGGTTTAATGGAAAGAGCTTAAAGCGGATACAATACTCAGGAGAGAGGGCGCGTGCGCGTGCGTATGCGTGCGTGGTGAGCGTCCACGTGCACTCTCCACTGAGGTGCAGTCAATTTGATTGATTGTTGAGAGATCACCTAGGCATTTTACTCCCGCCATGACGAGGATTTTACTGATCAAAGAGGCTTAAGTAATGATGGATTGAAGTCCTCTCCGTCATTAAAAAAAAACAACACCAACAAAATAAAAAACCCTGATCCCAAAAGTAGTGCACAGCACACCAGGCAAGACTATTCAAAATGCTGAGAGGGAACCATTTCGAGGCAGGCTCATTTGTTCACTGAGAAATGACCACTTATGCATCATCATAAATCACCTGCTGCAGCTGTTTGTTCATATTGCTTCATCCATTCCTCCAGGATCCCTTTCAGCATAAAGGCAGATGCTGCATAATCCATAATGAATCAGATTTTATGAAATTCACAAGGAAGTGAAATGTTTGACTCATCAGTTTATTATGCACCAGATATTTACACCAGATTATGAAATGTATTTCCAGTAAACAGTGAAAGCTAACAAATGCATTGTTTGTTTTGTTGAACTTGAAAGTCAATATTTGGTATGACCACCTTTATTCTTCATCCTAGTTTGAACTCTTTCTTGTCATTGTTTTATTAAGTAGTCAGGAATAGTTCTCCAGGTTTCTTAAAGGACATTTAAAGCTCTTCTTTGGATGTTTCTGCTTTTTCTACTGTTCGCTGTCAAGACGATCCCACACCGCTTCAATAATGTTGATGTCCAGGCTCTGGGGAGGCTAATCCATCGATTGCGTGTTTTTCTATCCAGGTATGCTTTTACTGCATTGGCACTGCGTATGGACTCATAGTCATACTGAAAAATGAAGCAGTTGCTGACTAGATGCTTTCCCAAGGGGACTGCATGGTGGATCAAAATACTTGGTGGATCTTACCATACTTTTCTGATTTCATAATTCCTTGAATTTTGACAAGATCCTCAGCTACACTAGCTGAAATCAAGCCAGTACAGCTAACAGCAGGGAGGAAAGCTAACAAATGTATTGTTTGTTGAGGTTTTGTTGAACTTGAAAGCCAATATTTGCTTCCAGTGATGCTTCCAAACAGGAAGTCCAAGGTTTAGCAGTGCCCCAAACCGTGACAGAGACTGCACCAAGTTTTACACATGGCTGTAGACGCTCACTGTTATGCATCCTGGTCTCCTCCACTCATTTTTTTAATCCAGTTCTTGTGTAATTTTAATGCCTCAGCCTTTTCTCCTGTTTCCCTTCCTTAAGGATGTCTTCTTCACAGGCATCCTTGGACTGAGACCATTTCTGATGAGGCTTCAGTTGATCAGCAGTAGATGATCAACTAAAGGGCCAGATGCATCTCTCAGCTCCTGTGTCAGGTTTGCTGACATTTTTCCTATTTATTAAGGACATACATTTTGGATACTACTGTAGATAGTTTTTTAGTCCACTTGTCCAGTTTCCTCAGATTTTTTAAAGGACACACTGCACACCATGCAGACATGTTTTCGACTGATAGCTCTTTGGGAATCACCTTGTTGGTGCAAAAATACTTTTTTGATCCTGACAAACTGTTATCTTTGCAATTGTTTGTAGAATCAATTCTATAGAAATGGGATAAATTGTGTTCCTCTGACAGGCCAAAAGATACAATTTAAAACCTATTCTTTGCTGTCTGCAATCTGCAGACACAACACTGTGTCATCATTTGAGTTGGTACCTTTTTTACGTTTGAATAGGGCAGTATTAACCCCTTGAGGGTGGCTCAAGAAACAGACAGAGAGGGTTTGGAAGCGTTAATGTAGCACAGAAGGCGCCATTCTTACTAAAACAAATCCTAAACTTTAAATGCTAAAACTGATGCTTCCAAACAGAAAGTCCAAAAACAAATGGGGGATGTCATGGTGGCTACTTCCATCTTTTATATACAGACCATTGTTGTTGGTGTTTTTCTGCTATTCATTTTATCTTAGCACAGTGGGGAAAGCACAGCCGATATCTTGGTTCCACTAAGTGTGCCACTAAGCAGTGTCATATTTTCACAGACCTGTCTTAAATTAAGTTCAGCCATCATTAACACACCCGAGCTTTCCTATTGTTACAAATCTGCAGTGAAAAGGACTGTTGATTGAAAGAGTGGCTCATATTTAAAACAGACGATTAGTGATCTGTTTGAATATATTGAATGAATTTTCGAATTTTTAAAAGAGACACCTCACAGCCACAGAATCACACGAATAATGAGAGAAATTTAAGGTTGTATCCAATGGCTTCATCATTATTGAACCCAAAAGCATCACAATTTGCAGCAACTTTCCACCATAGCTGCCTTATATTTGAGGTGTTTTACAGTTGTAGGATCTCATCTCACGAGAGAGTAAATCCAATAACGAAGGGT